CGGGAAAATCTTCGCAACTGCGGTTCCTGCCCAGCTCCTTCTTGGCCGCATTTGTGGCTCCTCCTTCGCTTCTGTGGGCTCGCACTTGCGGTTCCCACTCCGCAGGTGCGGTTACACCAGTAGCAGCAGTGCTTCAGCTGTAAATTCCTAACTCCAATCAAGTCGCTAACCACCCGAAATCACCCCGAGGCCCTCGGTACCTCATCCAAACATACCAACAAGTCCTATAACACCATACAAACTTAGTCGAGCCTTTAAATTACATCAAACAACGCTAAAAATACGAATTACACCTCGATTCAAGCCTAATGAACTTTAAAGTTTTGAACTTCTACAACCGATGCCTAAACCTATCAAACCACATCCGATTGACCTCAAATTTTGCACATAAGTCATATTCAATATTACGGACCTACTCCAACTTCCAGAATCGGAATACGACCCCTATATCAAAAAATTCACTACCGGTCGAAATCTCCAAAAATTCGACTTTCGCCATTTCAAGTCTAAATGAGCTGCAGACCTCCAAAATATAATCCGGACACGCTCCTAAGTCCAAAATCACCCAACGTAGCTAACGGAACCGACAAAATTCTATTTCGGAGTCGTCTTCACACAGTTCCGACTACGGTCAAAATTCTAAGACTTAAGCTCCCGTTTTAGGGACTAAGTGTCCCAAAATACTCCAAAAACCAAAACGAAGCCTCCCGACAAGTCACATAAGCAGAGAAATATATGGGAGGAACAGTAAATAGGGGATCTGGGCTATCACTCTCAAAACGACCAGTCGGGTCGTTACAATTACATATGGTGTAATCTTTGACTTATTTTTAATGAAAGCCAAAAGGCATCTTTTAAAAGATAATTCATTGTATTTGTGTTTTAGTTAATTTGGTTAGGCTAAATTTTAGGAATTTTTAGATTATTTATGAAATAATTGGTTGTAATCAATTCAGTTAGGCTTAAATTTAGGAAATGGTGAGGATCTCATTAAATTTGCTACAATTTTGGGATTCTCGTTAAATAATGAGAAGAGATTTTTTAAACTGAATAATAATTAATTATGTAAAATATTGTATAAAACGTGAATCAAATAATAGTTGTAGATGATGTAATATACTCTAATAGAAATTGTAGTTACAAAAATTTCCCTTAAATTTCACCCTGAATATCTTGAGCCGGAGCCCACCAATGTATTCAAGTCCAAGCCTAGTCCAAGTTGTCTTAGCCTAGTCCAAGAGAAGACTAATCAAATTATGTTCATGGGCTGTGTTTAGGATTCCTATTACATTGGACTTGCCCCACATTCCCCACTTTCCTCTATGCTCAGTCCAATCAAAGTTAGTCTTCTCTTTTCTCATTCTTGTTTTCTTATAAAGAGTTTCATACATGGACAAATATTACAAATTTACTAGTAATCGTTTTGCTAAATCTTATGACTATTTGACATTTTCGTGAAATTCAGTACTAACCTGAGTTTGAGCTATGGGTATGAAGTCGCCTTTGTCATAAAGCGTTTTATCATTTCAATGTAAGATTTTTTGGCACGAATTTCGGTCGGACTCAAATGCAAACACAAAATACCGAATGGAAAACCTAAAAAGAAAAAATAAACTTAGCCCCAACTACTTTTACTTTTCTGACGTTCTCATACTCTTTACATCGACGTATGTTTTGTACTTTTGCATAGGGATGGGCAGAGTTTGGGCAAACCCGAAATCCGATTTTTTTGGATTTTTGGTTTGAGTTTTCGGATTATGGTTTGAATTTTGGATTTAATTTTAAAATTTTTGAATTTCGGATTGGATATTGGATTTGATACTTCGAATTTTTGGATATCCGAAAATTCGAAATTCTTATACTTTATATTTAGTTCATTATCCATATGTCAATAATAATAAGTTCAATACCCTACCCATTAGATATTATCTCATATATTCAATATTAATTACTATGTTACTGTGAGAATACTTTCTATTTGGACATGATTTTACTATTTCTACTTCTTATCGGCCGTATTAATGTCTCTATTATATTTTTTTTTATAGTAATTTCATTACTTGAATACTTCATTTGAATGATCGCGGTGAGAATGAGGAACTTTTCAGGCAATTTAACATGAGTACTTCATTTGAATATTCATTTTTATAAAAAGAAAAAATATCTCAACTTATAAGCTCAAAATCGAAAATTCAAAATATCCAAACCGATTAATCTGAAACCGAACTTTAAAAATCCGATCCAATCCGAACTTATTTTGATTGGATTTGGATTGTCATTTCTTCAATCGGAAAATCGAAAATCCAAACCGAAATTTTCATATGCAATCCGAACTGCCCGAACGCCTACCCTGCTTTTGCATGACTTACTCCTAATAAAAATTATTAACATGAACTCTTTAAATACTATAATTCAACATCCAATGCAAAACCAAATAATTGAAGGTAATCTTAAACAAATTAACTATCTTATACAATTTGAACAAGAAGCAATATACATTTTCTGACGTATGAAATAGGCCCTAGCACATGGAGTACTCATTTGGGAGTGATTCCCAGAGAATATTATCTTAGGAAAAAGGCAGGTTATTATTCATAATACTCATTGATGTCGTACTTTTCAAACTTACTTTGCTTTTAATTAGAAACTAGGCCAGTCAATCATGTCTTAGTGAACTTGCTGTCTACTACTAATTTAATCATTTAAATATAAATGTGATTAGCAAGCCATCATAACTTTTCTATTCTGAAGTTACATCGTAGATAATTCATCACCTTAGCTTTTTCGTACGTAATTACCTAGTGCATAAAAGTTAATTAATCAAGAAAAATAACACTCAGTAGTTATGCCTTTTCGGATAAACTCTGTTTGAACATTATTTACTATTTCGTTATTATAACATTAATCTGGAACATATCATGAGTTTTTGTTTTAGTGAAACCATCGGACTTACAAATTGCATAAATGACCATAAGTCAGTTGATATCTCTCTTCACGTAATTGGATTAAATTTTTGATGCATGCATCTATAACTTGTTGTAACACACGCTAAAACATGCAAATATATACTGAAAGTTGCTTCAAAAAGTTAGAGACATGGAAATTATAACATGATTATTTTAAACAAATCTTTGAATTCAGTTTCTAAGTGAATATCATGGTACGAGACATGATTATTACTTGGAAGTTAATGAAACAATCTGAATAAACAAATGTAGTTGGAAAGGACAGCAAAAGCCCATACTTATGATTTGGTCACATGGTTAAAGATTTGAGACATCATCTTTTTCCTTGTCATGAATACATATATCTCTTCTTATAGCCAGACTTGAACAAATTACAAAGGCTTTGTGTTCTGAAAATTCCAATATCAAAAGAGAAAGAACAATAATGTACACTAACAAGCCTTCTTTCCAAAGAGAGTGTTTTGTTATACAAGTAAGAGGTAGTAGTGCTGAAATATCCTCAGAAAATTTTCAGTCTTCTAATAAATTGATCAATTTCTCAGCTATGAAGCTTTTTGATCGCTTCCGAAAGATTGTTATGCGGTTTGTTTTTCCGATTCCAACGTCCGGCCGGAGGAGGCCGAATCGAGGAGCTCAGGGAACGATGGCCTCCGGGCCGGGCTCAGGACAAAGGCGGAGGTCATGTGATAGGCCCGACCCGCCCAAAACTTCGTGTAGTTCCTATTATTCATCATCTTCTCATTATAACGAAGCTATTGCTGATTGTATAGAGTTTTTCAATAAGTCTTCACAAGATCAGGGAATTTTCAGTGGTAGAAAATCCGACGTTATTGTGTAATTTTGTTTATCTTCGAAAGGTATTACTATATGCAACCTTGCTTGGTGCTTGTGTTGGCTTTTGAATTTTTAGCGTTCGAATGATCTGATGTTGTAAATTTATGCGTAGTTGTATATGTGGAATATCTTCAAGTTTAATTATAACAAATTTGCTTTTCTAAATCTTAATTTGAAGAAACAATCAAGTCTCTCTATAACAGCATCGTTTGTTCCGATATTTTTTTGCTTTTATAGTAAACGGCTATTATATACATATAATAACAGTTATCGTTTAAATATTATTTGGCTGTTATAGAAAAAAATTATCCAAAAAAAATAACGTTTTCCCTTTTTAATGTTACATATAAAAGATAAAAAGATAATTTTAAGTTAAAATCTCAAAATATATGTATATTTACTAATTATGTATTAAAAATTACTATATTATTAATAAATTCATAACTAAATGTACAAAGATTTAAACTCTAACGCACACATTTTAAAGCTAAGCTACTAGAAAACTAAATTCTTTAAATATTGATGAAAAAAGTCTAAAAAGGATATGTGCAAATCATTAAATCTTAAACATTATGCAAGATGAAAACTTTGTACAATAGAAAAGATTGTATATACGGATCTTTAAATATTATGCACGAAAGATCGTTTTGTGTAATAGAATAAGAATATACAAGCATATATCTTAATGGACTTAAATAAAATATTTAATTATGGAAGTATATACTAATGTATATTTTTATTATAACTGGTGTATTAAAGTTTTAAAATACTTGGTCAAATTAATATCTTTAGACTTATTATTGTTTATCCTAAAAATTCTACATGGTTGTTAGATAGGGGTAGTTTTACAAAGAGTGTACTGAATGTTGTTGTTATACGTGAAAATGTATTATAGAGAGGTAAAATATAACATAAAAAATTGATTCACGAAAAAACTTGACTTTTATATTAAATGGTTGTTATATGATGATGTTGTTATAGAAAAATCTGACTGTAATACAAATTTGTAAAATCCAAATTAGTACAAGAAGCGAAAGGAACTACATATCATTCAAGTAATAATACAACCTTATTGAAAAATTTACACAAAGAAACACATCTATAAAACTCACACTGCGTGGTTTACAAGTTATTATATTGCACAGTGAGAAGGTTATTCAGTGCGTACCCGAAGAATCGTGCCCGCAGATTTCCCTGGGAATTTTCCAAAAAAAAAAAAAAAATTCACACTGTGATTTTAAACAAAATTATTGAAAATTTATCGGCTATATATAGTTTTGAATTGCCTTACTCCTCGTGATTTGCATATTAGTTTGTTCGTTTTAAACTCGTGCTGATTGAATATCAGAATTACTCCCTTTCTTCCTAGAAAAAATTCCTCCTATAAGAGGAATAAGAGGGATTTTCTTCTTCTTCTTCTTCTCGAGAGAAGGATGTCTTTGTAATGGAATTACAATTCCGTTTAAAGTCGGAGGATTTACAAATGTCACATATCTTTTCTTTTGAAACTCAACGTTTTCATTTGCCATAATTTGTGAATTCTCTATAAACTTGAGGTCTTCAATTTCTGATACCATAACTTGTTCTTTGGATTGTTGCTCGAATTTTAGATTCTCAAGCTCTTTTCTTGTGCGTTCAAGTTCTTCTTCTAAAGAAGAGAGACAAGTAACCATTACAAATCTTTCCTCTCGTGCTTTTTCTAGTCTTTGCTTTGTCTCTTGTAGCTCTGTAGTTACTGTTCCAATATCATACGAGTCACTGTCGTCCTCACTTGATGATCCATCCTTCTTCTATTATGGGCGAGTTATATACACTGAAAGTGTTAGTATGCTATAGCAAGTTATTTACACTTATTTTCCACGTTATCATATAAGAATTTTCATCAAGGGAATTAAAATTAAAAGTAAACACACGAAGAAGTGAAGTGAATTCAACGTCTGATATATAAGTGAATTCAACATCTAATTTTCGGACGAAGGGAGTTCGGCTGCCCTGCTTAACAATACTTAGTGTTGCAGATAACTTAACGTGATGATATTAATCTCACTAGTGAGGTCCATGGAGGATAGTGTGTACACAGACATTACCCCTACCCTGGGGTAGAAAGACTGTTTCCGATAGACCATCGGCTCCCTCCCTCCAAGAACTCCCCACCTTGCTCCTTGGGGTGACTCGAAATCACAAACTCTTGGTTGGAAATGGGGAGTGCTCACCACTAGAGCAACTTTCGATCCACTTAGCATATAAATGTTTTTCAAGTAAAGATGTAATTTCTGCTATAGTGAAATAACATGTAATTAAAATTTGCTAGCTATGACATAAAGTATAGAAGGGAAATGGACCTGTTTAAGCTTGTTAGCAGAGTAGAGCTCTCCAGCAAGAAGTCTTTCTCCAAACAACATGACAGCTTCTTTTACTGAACTAAATGGAGCTCTCGTATCGATCTCCGCCTTCCCAAACATCGTTATTCCGCCTTCCAATACTTTCGTATTTTCCATTATCAGTTTCAACACTGTTATATGACGAGTAATGTTATGTTATGTTTTGCTGAAGGAGGGACTAACTATAAAAGAGGAACCAAAGAAGATGGAGAAGTGGAGCTTCGTTTCTTCGAATCCACTTCACTAGAATTATTCTGTCTTGGATCTAGCTCTTTCTTTTGGTAAAATATAGAATTGATTCAAGTAGAAGCTATAGCAAATTGGGCTGATTTTATGGGCTATATTCTCTGGTTTCAATTTGGTAGGCCTACTTTGATTTGGTGATTTACGCAAATGTCCTTTTTTTTAGTCCATCATTTAGATTTTGTCCATATTCTTAAAAGTTGTGCAAATATAGTCCTTGAGAAATTATTCTTCAAATAACGTTAGACTCGGATCTAATCTTTACTTATATATTATCCAACCTTACGTTTGTTATAACTTACAGAATTTTAGATCGCGATCTAATATTTTGTCATAAGATTTTTAGTTTGAACAAAAGGATCTTTAGATCGTATGCGCAAAATATTTTGCTTTGATTTGACATAGGAAGAGGACATTTTAGCTTTTTTGAGCCCAACCCACCTAATTACATAATATCAATAATTCAAATTACTATTAGAATTGTATTTATCCAAAATTAATGCTGAGAAGATACAGTGCAGCAAGTCAAACAAGTCATGAGAAGAACATTTGAATCTCCGACACAAACCAAAAGCAAACAAAAAATGTGAAAATCTAAGAACAGCTACTTCTCTATTCTCTTGCGTCAACATCGTCTTCTCCGCCAGTTCTGTAGCTTTACAACCACAACCACAATCCCCAAAATTTACTCCTACGGAAAAAAAACGTAAGAGTCAAACAGAAATTAAATATTAACCAAACAAAAGGTTGTTTAAGTTAGCTTTAACCTTATTTATATGAGGAAAATCTATTAACCTTAATGTATATATTAAGATAAATCGTCCAACTACTTTCTTTGTTTTCCAAAAATTGTATCAGCCAAATATAATACTGATCCCTTTACCCTTTCAGATAAAATTATAAAATGTATCTTTAATATTCAATTAAATCCAACATTCTCTATTTTTCCCTCACAATTTATGTGACACTATTGTTATTTAGAGAGTTAAAGAAATTTTTTTTAACTATATTTTTTAAAAATATTTTAAATTATTATTAATTTTTAATTTATAGTTTATTTTATATACTTTAGCCAGCAGACTTCACAATTCAAATCGAATTTGAGAAATAAAAAGAAATAATAAAAGAGAATAACTCAATACGAGGGTATACGGGTAAAATCGAGATCGTGGTGCATTCTAACCTTCGACAAGATAAGCCTGGCTCGAGATATGTCAATGAGGGACCGAAATCGAGCCTAAGTCCCACCGGGTTAGAACCGGGGGCATGATGTCTGCCTTCGAGGATATCGAGACCGCAATCCCGGAATCGATACTAGCCTCGAACAACTTCGAAGAATATTGTCAGACGATCTAGCATAACCAACAGAAGGCTGAAAATATTCGTGACCAGCCGAATGTCACGGCGGGAATCTCGGCACGTATCGATAAGGAACCAACAATTAGAGAATCAAAAGATTTTTTACCTTTTATAGAGTTGTACTTAAAATATGACTCCTCTGTTATGTAAAAAGGGTCTAACAATTCATTCGACACATTGTAACACGCACTCAAAAGCAATACATTATTATTTTCTCTGTCTCCAAGCTCTTGTTCTTTTGTTTATCGACACTTGCTGTGGTGAGCCCGGCTCGAGGGCAATTATTCTATCAAGGCTGAAATTATCCAACTTATCTGGTTTGAATTTATGTTATCTTTATTTACTCAATAGCAACTTAATTTATCGTTTTGTATCAAGTTAATCCGCGTATCTATAAAATCACTTAAAATTTTAATTGTTATTCAATTTTGAGTGTAAACACCGAGAAAGTGAAATTTTCCAAAAAATGGAAAGAAATAATAAAAGAATTACTCCACTAAGTTGACGAAGAAAGGGGAAGAAAAAAGATTTTATTGTGAATTGCTACATTATTACGGCAACTATGAATATGAAAGTAAGGAACAGTCGGTAGTTAGCTAACCATACCTTCCAACGCAACAATAACGGCGTACAACAGTAGTATAGTAATATTCATCGTTTAAATCCTTACATATATTTCATCATTAATTTATTCAAATCTAACTGTTCGCTTACCATCATTACGATATAAAAAAGAAAATTTATATAGTGTTAAAGATTCACAACTGTATAAACTCTCTGTTTCAGCATCACCATTTATTGTCTCTTCTTTTTTTCTCCGTCACACGTTCCTTTTGATCTCACTGTTAATTATGTCGGTCACCGTTAGCTCGCCGGCCGGCCGATCCTTCCATATTTCACGATCACCTTACAAAAAGATCTCCAAGCCACGTGTCATTATCGCTGCCGTCCGATCTGGTGTTAGTTTAGCGGTAGCACCAATATTGACTAAGTTGCAGAAAGACTGTGCAACTCCACTTCCTGTTTTGCGCCACGTGGCTGATGCCATGGCCGTTGATATGCGGGCTGGACTTGCCGTCGATGGTGGCAGTGATCTGAAGATGATCCTTAGTTATATTGACACTTTACCAACTGGGTACAATACTAATTTTTCTTGTTTGTTTTTGAGTTATTGAAGTTCTCTTGTGTTCTTTAGTTTATTTAGCATATGATCACTGAACTTTAAAACCACTAATTGTACTATTTTTTTTCACATTAAAGTAACTAAATTTGATCCATATAGTTACAAAATTATCTTCTGTCAACTTTATCCTAAAATTAGCTTGACTGATATTTGTGTGAGTACAGTTTAGTGACTTTACTGTAAAGTTAAAGTTCAGTTACTTTAAGGTGACAAAAGAATGGTTGCACGTAATTTCATTGCTAAAATGGTTTAATGTGACCAAAAATAGTTAATGACTTGACTGTATAGTAGATATCATACAATGAAATTTACCCTTCTTTTTGTTGTCAACTATAGTATTTAACTTTGCCAGTATTATGTTTTATCTATTTCCTGCTATATTTATTTTCCAGTATTTTCACTAATTTAATTTGAAGGCAAATTCTTAGAAAAGTAAAGATTTAAAGAATTAAGCTTTGTCCTAGTTTACATTGCTTCACTTGTTTGATTGTTAGGCTAGTTTATATAATGCCAAATTTTATGATTTCTCAAGGAATGAGAAAGGTTTGTTCTATGCATTGGACCTTGGTGGTACAAATTTCCGAGTGTTAAGAGTGCAGTTAGGTGGTAAAGAAGAGCGCGTAATCGCCACTGAGTTTGAGCAAGTCTCTATACCTCAAGAATTGATGTTTGCAACCTCTGAGGTTGGTTAGTTTTTCTTGTTACAATGCAGCTTGACCAGTGTTATATTTTCTTTCTTCTTGTATTCACATTTACATAGGTTTATTTCAGGAGTTGTTCGATTTCATAGCTTCTGAGCTAGGAAAATTTTCACAAAGTGAAGGCGGTAAGTTTGAGATGCAACAAGGAAGGACTAGAGAAATAGGATTCACATTTTCTTTCCCAGTGAAGCAGACTTCAGTTAAATCTGGCATCCTAATCAAGTGGACAAAGGGTTTTGCAGTCTCTGGAACTGTTAGTATTTCTTGATTCTCTCATTTGCGTGAAGCAGTGGCAGATTATAGACATCATACTAATTTGGCCTACAGTTACAGATATTTTATGTCTACTTGCCGGGTATGGCATGAGTAAATATTCATTTCAAATGGTCGCCACCAACTGAGGAGTTACGAATTTTAAGATGGCGATTATGAAAATAAGGCAACGAATGTCAGCACGTTAACCCCTAAGCTTACTGTTGGAAATCCGGCGAGCTTAATATGAAAACTTTTCTACCAATGCTGCCTTAAAGATGGTCAATTTCCCTCACCCTAATAGGACTTTCAAACAATATTTTTGCAGTCTTTGAATTAAGCACTGGAATCATCTATTTCGTAAATTTCTATAGTTCCATCCTCAATAAATTGAGCATTCGTGACTTTAAAGTCACTCTGCTTTCTTGTCAAAGAGTGTTTCATACATTGAAGAGTTCATTGTTTTCCATATATCACAAAACAAACAACAACAACAACCCAGTGGGATCCCACAAGTGGGGTCTGGGGAGGGTAATGTGTATGCAGACCTTACCCCTACCCTGGAGGGCAGAGAGTATGTTTCCGAAAGACCCTCGGTTCGAGGTTTTCCATATATCACAATCTTCGCAAAGTACTTCTTACAGTGTGATGACTGATTAGTAAGTTAAAAGACTAAAGAGATCAATTCGGAAAATACTGGATTCCCAGTATATTGTAGATTAGACCTACTAGCAATGAGTTCCTTAGCATTGACGTTTAACTTAGTCTCACTTATCCTTATCATTCTCATTGCACTTGCGAATTACTTTTTGATTCCTGCATAACATGGAACAGGCAGGAAAAGATGTGGTTGCTTGTTTAAATGAAGCCATGGAAAGGCAGGGATTGGGAATGCAAGTCTCGGCCCTGGTAGGTTCTACTCTACTTTACGCGAACTGAGAATTGACGGAGAATATCCTGGTGTGTCCTCTGTTCTATTTGTTTATGATTTCTGTCCATTGTCAAGTTAGGTCAATGACACTGTAGCAACACTTGCTGGAGCGAGATACTGGGACAATGATGTCATGGTTGCTGTCATTCTTGGGACTGGAACCAATGCTTGCTACGTAGAACGTGTGGATGCTATTCCTAAACTGCCACAAAGGATGTCCAACTCTCCAGAAACAGTAAGTATAGTCCAAAATATTCTGTTGTCAAGTTATTTTCATGAACAGCTTGCTGTTTTAACGACCTTTGAGTTTGAGATAATATCTGATTCATTGATTATCTTTTAGATTGTGAATACTGAATGGGGAGCATTTTCAAATGGCCTTCCTTTAACTGAGTTTGATAGAGAAATGGATGCCGAGAGCATTAACCCTGGTGAGCAGGCAAGTTTTATTGACTCAAAACATGGAAAATC